GTCTGACATGCTGGAAAATATATAAAATGTATAATGCGCGTCGAAATTAAGTTCCTTAAGCTACGTCACACCACGCTCGTCCCGGACTCTTGTTGATACGCGACAATTTTACGAAAATCGTTGTTTAGAGCCTCGTATCTCGCGAATAAAAATAGAAAACCGAAATATGTTAAAGAACCTATTAACTAACTTTTTGTCCTCTACCAAATATCAAAAAAAAGTTTTTGTGACATAAGCACTTTAATTTTCGACCACCCCCTTTCGCATCAGATTACGACACAATTTTTCTAATATAAATATCTCGGCGAGTATTTACCCCCCTTGTAAATAAAAGCCACCATTGAAATCCTAATAAAATAACCTTTCGAACGGGGGGGTCAAGTGCCGTCAGAGCATTACACAAACCGAAACAATCATATATTTACTCACCGCTTGGCCAAAGATTCTAGATTTTATATCTACAAGATCTTGAATATCTCTTGAACTTTTCGTCATTTTCTGAACGGCTATATGTGTAAAATACTCTTTGTATCCAAGCGCTTTCGTGTAGAAAGTTTCGTATGTATACGCCGACTAGAAATATTTATTTTGAATTTTTCAAGATATCGGGTTTTACTCGCACTTGCGAACATTGCGCAATAATTGGCCAATAAGAAGCTCCTGTTGGCCAGTATGACGTCAAACTCACGCGTGTAGGTGCAATTTGACCTTGCGAACCATTTCTGGCCTTTCCAGGGTCATACAATACAAACGTCGCATTGTTTTGACGGTTTTAAGACGTATTTCCGGTTGGGATTAACTCACTTCGAGCTCACAGTCGGACAAGAAATGGAAATATACTGATAAAAGATACAGATTTGAAGATACAGGCTTGCAAATAACACTCTAAATAGTGTTTTTGATGGGGATTCGAACAAGACTATTACAAAGACGATATGTGCGAAGGGGCCGAAGTTATTTTCAGCGAAAGGTATGGCTAGTCTATATTTTGTTCAGACAATTGCGTAATTTGATACAATATTATCGTGTTTGACTTTCAAAGGCCCGTAAATCGTTACAATGTTAATAATGACTATAACTATCATTTGGAACTAGTCTATCTTTTATTTCTGAATCGATTGGTGGTATTTCTGTCTTCATAGCATGCACTGAACCGAAGGTATGAAATTTATAGCCGTCGTCGCTCAGGATCGACGCGATATGGCCTGTGGCGAGAAAGAGTTTTAATTAAATTAACGACTCGTTTGCTAAGTTTGGGTTTTGCGTAAAAAGCGATTTATAGTTTACAACTGTCCGCAATTTTGGCTTATTTCGGATTTTATTTTCTCTTCTAACCCAACTCAATATAGCAAACACGGCAGATTTTTCACTGGATATTTATAAACTATAATTATACGTTAAAGAAAGTTGTTTATGCAACATGCTTTAATTCGGCTTAACTCCCGCTTGGACCTTGGAAATTAAATTCACTTGATTAATTAATGACAGTCGTATAATGCATGTCACTTACACACTTTACTTAGAGTTTAGTAGTTTTATTTTAGACGCCACACGTAAAACACAACGGCGTAATTAACTTTATTGTCTTTAATTCAATCTTCAGAAGACTTTGCTAGAGGATGGAATCTTATTGTTTTATCAACCTGATATTCATATTTGCTGTGAACGTAATATTCTTTTTCTCGGGAATATGTTTAAATTCCTTGGTTATTTTCAGTTTCTGGCGATCTGTTCAACTTGGAAAGAAATTATGTTATTTCATGATAATGATTTTGTCCTGTTGCGACTTGCTTGTGGTTTTAACTAATAGTCCATTCATTGCCCTTATCGCCATTTTATGGTTGACTAGAAAGTTGGATGTAAATGCTAGATGGGTTTATATTTCCCTAAGATCGACAAGTATTTTCCTTGTTTTTTCATTATTCGCTCTTTTGGTGATGAGTTTCGATCGATACTTGGCGACATCTTATCCTATCTTTCATCGAACGTCGGTAACGAAGGGAAGACTTGTAACTCTTCTGGCAATACTGCTCATCGTCGAAGTAACTTCGGGAGTAATATCTGTGAATGACTTTGTTATTTCCTACCAAGTCCATGCTGTAATTATTTTTATTCTTCTAATTCCTGCAACGTTGTTTGTCAACTATAAACTGTTTCTAGTAGTCAGAAAAAGTCGTAAAAACAAAGGAATATCGCCCAAAATGAAAAAGATGCGTTCTTTGAAAAGTATATCGAGTTGTTTGATAGCAGTCGCTTGTGTTGTGGTGTTATCCATTCCAGTGTTCGTCTACATTGGACTAAGAATAAACTCGAGAGCGTCAACACATACTTTGGATAACGCAATCCTTGCAGTGATGTGGAGTAGAACCATAGCTTTAATGAATTGTACATTTAACAGTTTAATTTTTTACTGGGAAAACAAGGTGTTACGTGCCGAAGGATTGAAAGTTCTGAAAAGCATAAAATCCTAGGAAGACTATAATAAGCACTCTTCCGTCAAAAAAAACTGAAGGTTCGAAGGAAACTCTATGAATTCCACTGTTTACTCACGGCTTATATATATCTGGCTGTCTCGATCGTTTTAATACCTGAACTGATTTGTTTGTTGTGCTGTATACAAAGATAGCAGAGAACTTTAGCGGAGGTTCATATAGCGAGATATAAAAGGACGATCAATATGCATTACCATATTTTGGTTATTTTCTCATTATTAATATAACTGTGGCAATTGTGTCCGAGTCGAATAGAATTGTTATAATAATAGATTGTTATTAAGGCCACAGTCACACTAGCTTGAGGATGACACACTAATCCCAAGAATATATTTTAAATTTACGTTATGGACTTTTAGATTATTAGATATAGTCACCTGTCAACTACAGCAAACTAGCACACTCTAAAAACACTGGTTAAATTTGGGTTAATTCAACCAGGATGGGGTTAAAAATCCACCTACACAATCCTGGTTAAAAAAATTAAACCATTTTCCTGGTTAAAAGTCCAAAGAAGTATGGCCAGATTTTTGTTGAATCAATAATTTTTAACCAGGAAATCAGTTAATTTAACCAGGAATGTGCTAGGTAGTTTATTGATCCAGTTCCTGGTTGAATTTAACCAGAGTGTTTTTAGAGTGCACGCAATACAGTTTTCTGAGTGTGCAGACCGCGACGTGCTTGGCTTATATTCTAGCACGAGCTGGCATGATGTTCAAGCATGAGCACCCTAATCCTGGTGCACACGCAAAAGTCCACATCTTGTAGCAAGTCTACCAACAAGTTGTCTTTGCACTGCATGCTTGTCCCAAGTTGTCAACAAGTTTGGAACAAACTGTTACAGCTCAAACTGTTACAGCTCAAACGGGCAAACCGAGGCCGCTTTTGCATATTTTTTATGTCTTCAAACTAAGCCAAAACCACTCACAAGCGGGTTATTTTGACTGAACATTTTTAGGTTATGAACTTATGACATAGCCATAGGTCGAAATAACTCGCTGGTGCAATGTTTTGGCTTAGTTTAAAAACATTAAAAATACGCAAAAGCGGTCTCGGTTTGCCTGTTCGAGTTGTAACAACTTGTAACAACCTTGTTGATATTATCAGACTTGTTGCAAGGTTGTTCCAACAAGTCCGATACAGTCATGATATAACAATATTGTTACAACCTTGTGTCATCAACCTTACAACATTCTTGTTATACTTTGTAACGAGTCTGATAATGCCATCAAGCTTGTTACAATTTGTTAACAGCTTGTTACAACAACTGGGAACAAGTAGTGCCAAGACAACTTGTGAACGTACAGATTTGTAACAACTTGTTTGCAGACCTGTAACAACTTGTGCGTTTTTCATGTACGTGTACGTGTATACGCACGCGAAAAAATCTCACAACTTTATTTTGTCTTAACAGATGTATTCCCTTGTTTAGGGACCTTGCTACTTTATCGAACTGTTGTTTCCAACATAACTTATTGTTGACAATATTAACTCCAAGCAATTTTTCATTCTCATGCAGTGTTTGTTAGATTCACTCCATTATATTGGACATGTAGATTTGAATTTAACGTGGCTTAAGGCCGTTTTCCACTAGGCGAATTTGTTCGCGCGACGCGAAGCGAAAACCGAAATCCGGCAACGTGATTGGTCGGCGAAAAAATTCGCGGCGAAAAAGTAGGATCGCTTCCTACTTTTTATCTGTTCGCGCGAAAAAATTC